ATCAAGTATGGGATATGGTTGAGCTTTATCCCCATTGTAATACCATTGGGAGTAAATGGGTCTTGAAGAAGAAGACTAGCATGGATGGCAATTTACACACATGTAAAACAAGACTTTTTGCAAAAGGATTCACTCAGACCAAAGGAGATAATTATGATGAAAACTTTTCACTATTCGGTATGATTAAATATATTAGGATACTATTTTCCATAGTTGCATATTATGATTATGAGATATGGAAAATTTATATCAAAATTGATTTTCTAAATAGACACTTGGAAAAAGATGTCTATATGTTTCATCCTGATGGTTTTGTTGATAAAAAAACATCTTAATAAAGTGTGTAACCTCAAGAGATGCATTTACTTATTAAAGCAAGCATCTCAAAATTGGAATCACCGTTTTGATGATGAAATCATAAAGTATGGTTTTATCATAAATGAAGATGAATCTTGTGTTTACATGAAAAATAGTGGGAGCTCGGTGACCTTTCTGGTCCTATATGTGAACCATGCAATAAGCATATGTAGTCGACATTGGATTTGTACCTCATATTCTTTGAGAGTTAGAAATATAAGGTCTTACAATAATTTGAATGTTAAATGAGATTAACTGTGATCTGTATCTCATGTTCAACATGATGTTTATGACAAAGAGATAACTGATTACTAACCTGATACATCAATTGTAGCTTTGAGCTTATCGGAATTGGATGTTGATGAATGGTACTTTGTCGTGTATTATTGGTGGCGGTGAAATGTGTTGGATTGGGTGTATAAGCCCATAACTATAATTGGTATTTACTTGAATTGATATTAGCAATGTCCTTTTGGGTTGACTTCAAACCTAGCAATTGAATATGATAACTATTAGAGAGAGAAGAATGATTTATTAATTTATTACTTGGTTAATAAATTAATTAGAAATAAAAATAAATGATTTTTTAATATATTATGGAAATAATATATTAATTAGAAATCATAATGTTTAAGTAATATTTAATCAGAAATTAATTTGGAATTAATTTTTAGAATAAATGAATTAATTGAAACTGCAGGGACTAAAGGTGACAATGTTCAATAGTTGAGCATTGAGCATTCTATAACCTCCCTATGGTAAGGGGAACGAATTATAGATTCTCCTAGGGTTTCGTTGGGCTCTAAGGGTGCCTTGGATGCCTTAGGGAGGATGCTAAGGGATTCAGGTTATCTTGGATACACATGCCTAATCCAATACCTTCCTAACACCTATATCAACCCTACACTATAAGGAATTTCGGCTATGCACTCTTAAAAAAGGCTTATGGATGAAATTCTTCTTCCTTTCTCTCTCTATAGTAATCATTGGTTGCTTGAGTTTGTTTGTAAACTATTAGAGGTGCGACATTTGTGGCTCTTGCTACAAAATATTTTTCAATCAAGGATTCAAGATTGTTTGCAATAAAAATCTTAAAGGTATGTATTATAACCCTTTATTATGTGAATTTTGATTATAATACATAGAAACTAGGGTTTCTTCTTTGTTGTTCAAGTTTGCATGCTCAATTAGAGAAAACTTAGATCCAATCAATTTAGGGTTGCATGCATATATATATATATATATATATATATATATATATATATATATATATATATATATATATATATATATGAATGTGTGTTTTGCTCAAAACCCATCAAAATTTTGATAGATGTTCACCATTGTCAAATATCAGTTCATAATGAAACTTGCACAAGTGGAAAATTAAAAGATCTTTATGCTCAAACAACATTATGAGATGATATTTTCTAATAACATATCATCCTATAAAGTCCCACCATATAATAAGTAAACACTAATTTATTCTATATTAAGTAATATAATTATTAATAAATATATCGTTACTTGTATTTAAATGGGGAATTATTGTTTTTGAGAAAATAATAATTAACGTTATCATAACTAGATACATTTAATCACATGGTATGATTTAAATGTCACGTACAATATTTTGGACTTGTATTAGACTATTTAAACATATTGTGTATATGGTATAAGATAAATGACGTGGATTCCATTCACTCTCTTTCCCTTTCATCAAAATCGACCATAAGGACAAGTTATGACTAATTGTTGCTTCCTTGACTTTATTTCTTACACCTTAACTTGGTTCCAAGTCATAAACTTAATAAATGAAAATTTGGTATTTAATTTATGTGTAAGAGTACATAAAGAAGAGAGAGGATGAAAATAGTTAGTTTTTCTTCCTTCCTTTTTATATAAAGTCAATATCACTTTCTCCTTCCCTCTCCATTCTCTTGCAAAGTTTGTTGCTAGTTTTTGGTTCTTGAGTTTGTTCTCCTTTAAACACTTGTTGAATATAAGTCTTAGAGGCTTAAAAACGACTCAATACAAGTGTAGGACTAGCATCCATTGGTGGCTTTGGTGACTTGTTGGGTTGATACATATAGAGACATTCTTGTTTGGATTTTTGCCTTCTCCATCAACTATCAATCCTCCCCTTGAGGACTCAAAGGAATTCAAAGATTGTTAATCTTTTAACCCCTCTATGGTTGTTTTTTTTTCCGATCTTTGCAAATAGATCATTTGGTGGGAATAAAACTAGTTTTATGATGTTCAAATTTACAGTCTTTCATTGCAAATCTTGTGTTTTAGAAACATTTTTTTGAATAAAATTGAAATAAATAGTTGTGACAAGATCCCCTCAAGATTTTTTTATAATGTTTCATGCAGGAAACCATTATGTCCTTCACAATGTTTCCCAAAGGAAACCCATAACAATTTTCCAATGGAGCCACATAACAATATTCCCTTGGGAATCACATAACAATATTCTCGAACTTATTACATAACAATATTCTCATAGGAATCACATAACCATATTCTCGTAGAAATCACATTACAATATTCCAATACGAATCACATAATAATATTGATATAAGAATCACATCATAATATTCCTGTAGGAATCAAATATCAATATTCTCATAGGAATCACCTATCAATATTCCCATAAGAATCACATAACATATTTCTGTAGGAATCGAATAACGATATTCTTGTAAGAATCACATAAAAATATTCTTGTAGGAATCAGATATCAATATTCTTGTAGGAATGACATAACAATATTTTCTTATGAATCATATTTCAATGTTCCTGTATGAATCACATACCAACATTCATGTAGGAACCTTATGTCATCATTTTGCATTTTCGGGAAAAAGCCCATTCTCATATACACAACTCGTATATACATAAGTCTCCCAAGGACGTGCCATAACTGATGTGCAATGGATAGCTTAATAAAATAAACTTACTACAAATCTAATTTTAAATTTATAAACCTAACAGACTAAACTGGCTACTAGCACCAAGTTGTATACCTAGTCATGAAGAATATTAGTTTAGATAAGTAAAGGTGTCAAAATCAAGGGGAATCGATGTGTACTAAAAAAAAGAATAACTAACATAAAGTAATTTTGATATAAAGTAAAATACTCTTAATTAATGACACATTTAACTAGATTTTAGAATTACTATAGAATTATGGTTAATTTATATGAAGTGCAATAGAAATTTGATGAAAGTTCAATGATTCCTAAATTGATCAACTCCAGACTAATTTCATTTATCCTATGATTCTAAGTTATCTACTAACACGGATAGCTTTCATAGACTCGGTCTATTCATTCATATTATGTAACAACTTAATAGGTATGACCATTTAAAAAATACCATTTAGGAACATATTACACATTGACATCTTATAAACATATTGCCATAAATAAAACGAACTTGTATCTTATCATCATAATTCTAATCAATAAGCTATCCATCCTCTCTAATAAATAAATATTTTTTTATCACTTGTCACACTCTCATTCAATCTATCAAATATTATTTTGTAGTTATTTTGAATTTTTTTTTTCCACATACCGTTTTGAGTTTTCTATTTTGTTAAATTTTACATAATACTTTAATATAATAATTGCAGTAAATGTATTAATAAATAGATATCAATTTCATTAATAAATTTATCTTTTAATTTCAAAATTCCCAAAACTAAGACGCATTTGTTTCTTTTATTTATTTAAATTTAAAAGCTAAAAAATATTTTCATTATAATAATTCACTATTTTTCTTATTTTTCTTATAAATTCAAAGTTCTTAAATATTTTGATATTTACATTTTTTTTTAAATTAACTCATATAATACATGGATCTTACAACTAGTTATTATAATATGCACATTTCTCAAAGTACAATGCTCTAATAAGCAATATAATTAAAATACAACACTATTAAATACAATGTTATAATAGGAAAAAAAATGTTTCTTACATTTACCCCTAAAAATAAAAGAGTAAATTACACGAATGGTCCATATGGTTTAGGATAATTTGCGCGCTTGGTCCCTAACTTATTTTTTTAGCTCGAAGGTCCCTACTATTTGTTTTTGTTACGTGCTTTATCCCTACTGTTTGTTTTTGTTACACGTTTGGTCCCTATTACCTAAAAAACTATTATTTAAATAGGGAAAAACAATAGGATAGGTAAGGTAATGTGAAGAAGTGGGGTTGGGTTGTGTTTATTTAAATAAAATAAAAAATCAACAGCAAAATAGTCTTTTTAGGTAAGACGAAGACCAAGTGCGTAACAAAACCAAACATTCGGAACTTTCCGAGTTAAAAAATAAAATAAGTTAGGGACCAAAAACACAAATTACCCTAAACCATAAGGACCATTCATGTAATTTACTCAAAATAAAATTACGAAAATACTCATACAATTTGTCAATTTCCACATGTTTCTAACAACTACATATCCAACAAATCTTACAATATTAAAGCAATTTAAATCTTCCATTATATGGTCTCCATATATAATTTTTATTTCAAATGAAACAAGAAAATAGAACTACAAAAACCAAATGTCTAACAATTCCCAATTGAGAACATTTCCAACAAAAAAAGAAAAAGAAAAGTATTTTGTAAACCTCAATAACCTAACGAATGCAAAAAGTGAAAAAAAAATTAAGCACTTAATTCTCTTCACTTCTTTCTGATTTTGATAGTAAGAGTCCAGTTAACCTTACCCTCTGGTAAAGGAAGAGATTTAGGCAATCGAAGTGGCACCTCAAATTCCCCTAAACTTGACAATGGAGACTCCAATTGCAAGTTTTCAGGCTCAATCCTCACTCCAATCTGTCTTGCCACCTGTCACATAACCAAAAAATTGAATCAAAAATTCAAAATCATCAATCATCTGGTTCTTTTTGACTTAAATCCTAACTTTTTATCAATTGTTACCTCAGATATGATCTCATCTTTTTCCACAGGTGAACGAAGTTCTGTATCTATCTTTATGTATCTTCTCAGAACCTATAAGTGTTGAACAAGGTCAAGAAGATGTAAATTTGGAAGATGGAGAATTGAATTGCGATTTACAGTTTACATTTTACAAACCAGTTTAGCATTTTCAAGGCGTCTAGCTGCTGTTCTGTATTCTTTCATGGTGTCTTCTTCGGTCTTTGGAACTACCTTCACCTCTTCAGCTTCTTTGGGTTGATATATCTGGTTGAGAAGAGACGAAAAGATTTTAGCATTGTTGTGATCTGTTTACGAAAGAGAAATTCAGAAAGATGGAAACAACCTTCCTCTGTTCACTGATGAGATAAGCAAACTTGCCAATATTTGGAACTGCAAGCAATTTGGGCATCAGATGGTTGCGGAAATGTCCAGGAGCAACTTTCACTGTTTCACCTGCTTTCCCGAGCTTGTCTATGGTCTGAATTTAACCAAAAGTTTCTTCATTTCATGTTGAAGAGTTGTAAAGTTTATACAGAATAGATGCAGGTAGGAGGTTAATCGATAGAACTGATCTACTTACTGTTGTAAGAATGACCTCCAGTTTTCTGTATCTAACGCCTTGAGTAGCATAGAATAATGGATGATGTAGAACAGAATCGGAATTCTGGAAGAGAGCTGTATCTTTCAAAATCTTACTCTGGCGAAGAATACTTCGGCCATACTTGAGGTAAACCATCGTTTAAATCTTCAGTCGCACACCAAAATGTTTGTATTCCTGAAAAATTAATTGATTGTTTTACAAAAAGGTGGAATCATTTGCAAGTTTTCTCACAAATTTGAAGCAGAGGAATAAGCATACAATGTAAGTGATTTTGATCGAATTAGAAAAATTCAGGAATTACTTCACTTGGAATCAATACGGTTAGGGTTTATATCAACCAAACTAGACGCGATTAATCTGATATTTAATAAAACCCTAGTTTATAGGTTAGAGATTTCGATATTTACTTGGGAGAAGGTGTTCCGCTGTTCTCCGACGGCGGTGGTAACCTGGTGGTCGCCGGTAACGGGCTTCAGAGCGGCGGCGAACGTTCTGCTTCTCCAGTTAAGCAATGGAGTCGGCGATGAATTTATTTTCCCTACTACATTTTATCGAAGTTTTGATCTTTTTAAAGTAGCCACAAACGTTTGAGTTTTTCTTCATCTTGCACAAACTTCTTTGAGATTTTCAAACCTACCACACAAGTTTTGTAGATTTTACATAAACTACCCTAATATCTTATATATTTTGTTGGTTGGAATGAAATGATCAAAAAATGAATTGACTTTTTAAAATAACCACAAACGTTTGAGTTTTTCTATATCTTCCACAAAGGCCTTTTAGATTTTCAAACCTACCACATAAGTTTTGTAGATTACATAAACTACCCTAATAACTTAGATTATGTTTGGTTGGTTGGAATAGATTGGTAAGGTAATGAAATGAATCATTGCCATTTCACTATCATATTTTATTATAGTATTGGAATGATAATGAAAAATTAATCCATGTTCTTTGGTAGACAGGAAAAAGAGAGGTGAATGAAATAAAAAAGATTGACAATGACAAAAATACTTTGCATAACAGAAAATGTATAAAATTTATACATTTTACATCATTATCTTTATTTTTAATCGTAATAAATGCATATTAAATATATATATATAAAAAAAATTGTTTTCACATTATAATATGTCAGAACTATAAACACAAGCTTGATTTCTAACTTGAACTTAATGGCTACAATAATAGACCAAAGAATTTGAGATTAAATTTTGTTTGCACCCAATACTTTGAAAGATTACAAATGGCCCTCAACTTAAATGTGTTTAAGCTCCAATAACACTTTAGCAGTCGAGGTACGTGTTCTGCTAGTCCACATGATTAATTTTCTCACATGCAATTACATGTTTTTATTCATTAAATGTCATATGTGTAAGCTTTCAACCATCACCCACCCAAGTTGAACATCATAGTAGCAATTGGAAACAATATAAAAGACAATTATAAAAGATAACCACCTATGATAAAGGTATGCTTTTGCAACAACACCATGATGAAAAAAAATCATATCTATTATCATATCTCATCCATGGTCCCAAAAAGAAAGAAATTTTCTATTAGAATTTAGTATCCTTAACATGTCTAACATACATACATATATTCCATAATTTCAATTTATATATTCAAGTTGTATTCTAGCATTCAAGGATACCTCAGAAGTGGCGATTGACTCAAAAGCCATTATAACGTTGATCAATAATTCAATATGGAACCACTTGGGTTGTGGTGACTTGGTAAGGCATGTGGAAGATATGGTGGATAACCTATTGACCCATGTTCAAATCCTGACACTACTAAGCCCTTGTGGCCATGGAGGTTCGCCTGCAGTGACTCCAGGGCATGAGACAAAGCCTCATGTTTGCAGCGGGGGATTAGTCGGTGCGCGAAAGCTGGCCCGGAAACCTTCGTTAGGGAAGTTCCCTTTCCAAAAAAAAAAAAAAAATTCAATATGGCAAGCCCCAACCCCATAATGGAAAAAGATTTATTATTTAACATTCAACTTGTTGCAAAGATTGGTGCTTTGTAAATGATGCTAGTAATTTAAACAAGTCGTATTCTTTATTTTCATTGGATATACACTTGTTACTAACAGAGACATGAAATTCCTTGAAGATATTTCATTTAACCATTTCAATGAACACTTAATATGCAAGTATTTGTTCATAAACCAAGTTGTCCAAATAAACTTAAATCGTTTGTTGAAAAAACAAATGACTAAGAAAATCTGAAAATCAACCAACACATACCTTTCAATTGATAAGCATTGCAGTTTAGCACTTTAGCGATGATGAAAAAAAAAACTTTAACGATGTATATGAGTTGTTTCTTCTTTGGAAATCCATACAATGATCCTTGTAATCATTAATCAATAATCAACACATTATAAATAGACAATTTTGTGAAGATTTGGATGACTTTTGATGATTTGGCTTGTGATTTGGATCATATTTGACTTACAATTGTCATGACAAATTTCTCAAATCCATCACCAATCTCATGATGTCACATTATTTTAAAACATCTACCTTTAAAACAAATAAATAAAACAAAAATCTACAAGGGTTTTATAATATCATATTTTCATTCATATGTTGACTATTTTTTCCAACAAGTTTCAATGATATCTATTTCTATATCAAAAGAAGTCAAGTCCAACCACTTTTAAATAAGCTACCATAAAATCTTCATGACCAAAACAAGAAATGCCAAGCTATATCGAGCTTTTTAAGGATCAAAAAGTATAGATTGAGATAAAATCACAACTCTTATTCTAATCTTTATTGATTTGGCTTCTATTATAACTAACCAGAAATATCATCTAATCACACCATCCACTTATCTAATGTACAACCCATAAAGCAACAATTACAAATGCTAGCAGAAATAAGCAAAATATATGAACATTTCATCTCACTTTATATCAAGTACATCAACAAAGATTTCCCTTTGAAAGAAAAAAAAACAAACTCCTCATACAATCTCACTACATCACCAACAAATTTATACCCTTAATCGGAAACAACAGTTCGAAGAGGCAACGAGCTTTCGATCCCCTTATTCTCAGCAGCATTTCTCTCTGCAACAACTTTTGACATCCCAAACATCTGCAATTTGTATGTGATCGTAAACAGAGTGAATTTAAAAATTGGAAGGGGGTTTGAGGTATCAGAAACAAACCTTTGATATGGTCTTTTTGAAGCAGGTTTTGTGTTCATCCATGGAAGCATGAACAAACTCATCGATGTGATCTTTAACATCCTGAAGAAATGTGGCGTCATCTGACTTCTTCTTTCTGCAGGAATCCATGGCTGGTGCTTTCTCTGTTGACATCTTGATACTTCTGTACGTAAATTAGGGTTTCAATCGAACAAGGAATCACCATAGAGTATCATACAAGAATCGGAGGTAGTTTTCGACATTGAAGAGATTAACAAACAAGTCTTTGAAGATTATAAGAATCGCAACAAGATATATTTCGTTGCGTTCAAAATGGAATAAATTAAAGACCTCATGTTTTGAAATTTGATGAATTTGGTAACACAAACGAAAAAAAAATCAAATTGATGTCTATAACCGTTCTTGATCTTCAAGCTCAAATAATAATTTAAGATCCTTTTGTTCTAAAAGAATTATAACGAATTGATTCGGCCTGAAGATTATTTTATTCGTTTCCCTTTTGTTTCCAATTGAAAACTTCATCATCTTCTGCAATCAATTTATCAAAACAAAATAGGCCACGAACAAACCCTAGATGATCGGACTCCATTAAGCAAAACTCGATTTCCTAAAAAGTTCAACGAAATTAATGTTTGAAGGAGTAAAATTGAAGACTTACCGGATTAATACAGCGCCTTAAGAACAATCTATCGACCTTCCTCGTCTAATCTCTTCTCCAGATTGCTACTCGGGGCCATTTATTTCAGAATTCGTGTTAATCCAAGGGTTGTTTGGCAAAACTTAAAAATAAAAAAATAAAAAATAAAATAAAAAAAGGAGTTTTTCAATTTTTTACAAGTTTTACATTGAAATAAGTTTAAAAAAAATGTTTGTCTAAAGAAATTTTAAAAAAGGGAAATGATTTGTAAGAATAATGAAATATGAGAATCGTATAAAATATACCATTAAACTTTTTTTATATGCACATCGTTAACCAACTATAATGTTTTTATTTGCGTATGACCATTAAACTTCATATTTATTCAAACAATATTAATACATTACTAGTAATAGTAGGTCATCAGCCACATGATATTTTACGTAGCTGTTGAAGTGTATTTTACTATTTATTATATGCATGTTATACCATTAAAATTTTTTTTATGTATTATGCCATTAAACTTTTTTGTATACATTTTACCATTAATCTTTTTTGTATACATATTACCATTAATCTTATATAATTTATTCAAAAAAATATCATTTCAAAAAATACATATTATTACATAAAAATAGGTTTTCCATATCTATTATTACTCTCTTATTTGATAGGGTTTATATGAGAGTTTGTTGTTGATAATGATACTAAACACTTCATTTTACAAGTGCCTCGTACATCTATGTTGGTTATATATTGATTGAAACCCACAAGATTTGAATTTGAAAATTCCTTCTAGAGTGCCCAAGAAATACTCAATTATTTATTATTTTAGCTACAGTTTAATAAACTTACATTTATAAGTCATTTTCCTATTGATAAACAATGACATGATTTCAATTGAATTTTCTAATCATCAAGTATAATCAAGAAAAGGGGATTCGAAATCTAATATAATGGATAATAGAGTATTTATATATTTATACATTTAAATGTATTAAACTTCAACTAAAATAATAGATAATCAAGTATTTATATATTTATATATTTAAATATAATAATATATACTACATGGCCAACATATGGTTTTCAAATGTCAAAATATATATTTATACATTGAAATATCTATTTATACATAAAAAACACATATTTATTGTACATATGCTTTATATGTATGTAAAAATACATATTTATACATTGAAATACTTTATGGTTACTTGTAAAAGTACTTTATACTTATACAATAATATTAAATTGTTATCTTGGTGGCTCAACAGATAAGGTTTGTACACTTCAGAGGGAAGTTTCAAGTTCAAACCTTGTGGGTTTCAACTAATGTATGACCAACATAAATGTACAATGTAGATGTAAAAGTGAGTGTTTAGTATAATTGTCAAAGCGAACCCTTTCCCCACACATTACAAAATTCGGGAGTCACAGTAGATGATAGAAAACCCATTTTTATGTAATAAAATGTATTTTGTGAAATGATTTTTTTTTTTTGAATAAATTATATAAGATTAATGGTAAAATGTGTACAGAAAAAGTTTAATGGTAAAATGTTGTAACATCTCGCTTTTCAAGTATTTTCCGTTTAGCCCTTTAGAATGAGTTTGGTTTGCAAATTGGTCCCATGTGGCACTTAAAGAAGAAAAGAGCTTTGCATGAGTACGCGGGCTGTACTCCTAGAGTACGCTAGGCATAAAGCCATAAAAGAAAACGTCGTCGTTTTAGAGTACGTTGGGCATACTCCTTGTGTACGTTGGGCGTACTCGGTTCAATCGAAAACCGTAATATTTGGAGTTGTGCACTATTTAATCCCATCCATAGCCTCAAAAACCTTTCCTTACACCAGTCTCCATCACTCATCAACCTTCGCAACCCCTAACCTCTTATGTGTGTGTCTTTGGTGACCTTGAAGGAATGGGAAGGTGGTAGAATCACCTTGGGACTCAAAGGGATCTTATATCCAGAAGTACCTCCCCCTTAGACATCATTTGGAGGTAAAAAGCTCTGACCTTGATTAATATTGCTCTTAGTTCATGTTGTGGTTAAGTTTCATGCATTTTGGTCCCTTTTGCTTGGTGTTCTTGAGTATGGTCTACTCTAGACTTCATGAGCTATCCTTTTAGAGGTTGTAGTAGCTTGAGTCATAAAAATGAGTTTTTGGTCATTATTATCATTTCATGCATGAACTAGGAAGTCTTAATGGATTAAGGAGTTACGGTTTTTGGCAGTGGTTCCGTATATGTCGATCTTTTGGTTATGGTTGTTCAGGCATGTCGATGGGTCTGGTAATTGTTTTGGGCCTTAGTGGTGATGTCAGTTTGGGTTAAATGGTGCAGACCTAGATGAGTTTGTTGGTTTTGAGGTCTTGAGGGCTTTGCTCGAGGCCGTGCATTTGATTCGCGAGACTCAACAAGGAAACGATTGTTATGATCAGCTTGAGGATTGTAGTTACAAGCTGAGTGGTAGACTGATGGATTGGAATGTCTTCTATGGCGAGGATTATGTCCTTTTAGTTTTCCAAGTTCGAAGGAGGAGTGAGCAGGCTTGTAATTTTCAGAGTTAGTATGTAAACCAAACATGGGACCAG